TGGGTTAGATGAACAAGTTTATCTCAATGTAGGATTTAATTTCTTTTAATTTTAAAACATATATACTTTGTAAAATTTAATACGATCTCAATTAATTATATCATCAGAGACTATTAAGCCAAGAACGATCCTACCTAGAATTCCAATCTTAACAGCCTTGGCCCCGTTTGATAGAGCTATCAACAGCTACAGCTTCTCTCACACATTCACAGTTGATGCACTATTCATAGGAGCTTTTTTTTCTCTTTCCTCTCTGGCTCTGTGAGAGAAGGAGAGAGGAGAGAGAAAAAGAGTTCATGTGCAAGGAGAGAGAAAAAGAGTTCTTATGAACAGTATATAAATAGTGAATACGTTAAAGAGCCTGTTCGGGAGGCCATAAACGATCGTGGATTATTTACTGCTGGCTGGTTTGGCGTGAGAGAAAAACACTGTTCCGGCTAGAAATTTACGATCGTTTACGACCAAACGAACATGCTAAAAGAAGCTAGAGCCGGTGGGAGCTCTACCAAACGTGACCCATTCCACACATAGCTTACCTACTTTGTCACTGTGTGGCCCATGCCAAGTCTACTGTGGTTCAGCCAATACGAGTGGGTAGACGGGTAGGTAACAGTCTCTGCTCTCCTACACGCACATGTGGAGTATGCAGTATGTCTTTACCTACATAGGACTATACGAATACTCCTTCCGTCTCAAAATACACAACATTTTTTAGTTTTAGATATTTTTTTTGACTGTCCGTCTTATTCAAAATATTATATAAATATTATTTGTTTTGTTATAACTTAATAATGTCATCTATTTTAAGACAGAGAAAGTTTAGTCCTTGACTCATACTCCCTATGTTCCTAAATATCTGTCGTTTTCGCTTTCCGATAAACAACTTTGACTAAATATATATTAAAAATATTAATATTTATAATACATAATTAGTATCATCGGAAATATCTTTGAATCTAGTTTTTTAATAAATTTATTTGGAGATACAAGTGTTGCGTATATTTTCTAAAAATCGAGTCAAACTTGCAGTACGCACACCAACGACGATAGCTATTTAGGAACAAAGCAAGCAGTGTGCTGGAGCCCTCAATTTGGTGCCCTGCAATCATTGTGGTTATTTCCACTTTTGATAAGCATATGCGTACGTGCATTACTGTTCCTGCGCGCTGCAATCTAGTGCACGCTGCACTGGCTCCATGCATGCACCAGAAGATGCGATGGAAAAGGGTGACTCATGTGAGGGGGGGCCTCGGGCGTCAGAGAGCACACATACAGGGACAAAGACGTGCACGTATACGTGACAAAAGGTGAAAGAAAAAGAGGGGGGGGGGGTTGTAAATTGATCGATTGGCAGTGTCGACCGTGCCATATGTACTATGGTGGTTATCCATCAATCAACTACTCTTATTTCCACAATTTTGTGAAGTTAATATTTGCGAGTGCTCCTCAAAATGTCATTATCAGGGCCAGGTTGATGGCAAAATGTATCTAATTTTTTAGTTTGTTGCTCTTCTTAATTGGAACAGGATTGTTTTTTATGGAGCTCGTTAGAACGGCTAACTGTGGTACTTATTAGAACAGCTAAGTCTTAAACCTGTTGCTTGCTGTCTTCTAATATAATCCGTTGAGAGTGTTAGCTTGATTTGCGGTCAGGACTTAGGCTGGATTGAGCTAACTAGGCCTCTAGTTTGTCGAAATTTGATCCAAATTTCAGAATACTCCTATCTAGAATGCCTAGCGTGGTACGGTTAATTACTATATGAGAATTACATATTTGATTCAAACTTCTTTGCACTATATACATAAATCAAGTTGTGTGGAAAGAGCTGATTTATGTAGTGGTGGAGCCAGAAAAAACACTACTACATAAATCTTTCTACAGGCGGTTAGATTCATTTTTTTTAGGCGGACACCACATCCGCGTTTGACAATACGCCTACGTTAATCATATTTTTCGCAGGTGTCCGCCTGCAAAAATGGATAAAAAAAAAAAAAAAAGGCACAAGCCCACCAGCGAGCCAATTTTCGAGCCCGTCAGCGCCCAGCGCCTGACGGCTCCTAGATCTGACCGTCGCTACAACCTGCTTCCGCCCGTCCCCCTCCACCGTTGACGCAGGATCCAGACCGCCCCGCCGCCGTCGACGCCGGATCCACCAGCAGTCCTCCACACCACCACTAGCACCGGATCCAGAGCCTGGAGTCCTCCCTGTTGCCACTGCCGCAGGATCTAGTCCCCGTCGATATGCTGTCGTTCGCCCTAGGAGAAAGAGAGAGAGTGAGGGATAGAGGAGCGAGGAGAGATGGAGAAAGAACGAGGCGCGTGTACCACCTCCGGTTGGTACCGGCGTCAATGATGGCCGCATCTGCCTCAGATTGGGTTGTCGCCCGACCGTCGCCGTGAATTTGGCTGAAGAGTCTGGATAAGGGGGGGGCGGTGGGGTCCGAGAGGAGGCATCAAGATATCCGCTCACTGTCGAATCCACCCACACGTCATCGAAGAAATGGAGGTGCAAGGACCAAAGGAGGAAGAAGGGTGTGGGGGGCAAGCACGCCAGTAGCTGGGGCGGCCGCCCAACCACCGCTAGGGTAGCCGCCCTTGATTCCACGCATTTGTACAATCATCACAGCTGAAGGTTGTCTATTGGTGTCATACTTTTTTCTCATAAAAGTTTTTTCCTCGCGTTTGACCTACATTGGATTTTTTTAGGCAAGTACATTGCATTATTTGCTCATGTCATGTATATGTTTTTGTTGTTATTAGACCTCTGGATTTTGGGTAATTTACCAAATTATTGGCGAGAACATCAAGACATATTAAAAGGAAATTTATAGAGGATTTCTTATGCTTATTTTATGAACTTAGTGTAGTGTTGGCTAATACATGAGTTGAAAGCAAGATAAGGTTGATGTTTGTGGTGTCAACTTGCTCCACCTTTTACACAAGCTCCAGCATCCTTTGTTTTGCCATTTCCTTTGCTCTCCATTGCCGTAGGAGCTTGATGGCAGGCAACTAAGTTTTCCTTTTAGAGCTCGAGGGGGAGGTCCATGAGCATCGCATTCTTCACAACCAAAATAGCTTAGGGCTACTAAGTTTTATGCACCCTTAACATTAAGGATGGTTGCGTTACCGCTTGGATTCAACTTAGGGTGGTCACTTCTATTTGAGAGATGGAGGACCGAACGTTGACGGGAAGGAGAAATGTAACAAATAGAACATAAATACATCATTAAACTTCAAGATTATTCTTAAATAATTTTTGGGCTGTTCGCTACGGTTGTGGTTTAAAGCCGCAACGAATGGGCCCAAAGCTACTGAGCACTCGATGAGAGCCTCTACGTTCATCTTACCGCATGCCACCTGACTCGTCTCCCTTTTAGGACATGTTTGGATCTCCTCCTCTAAACTTTAGAGCTCGTTACATAGCACTTTAGCTTACCAAAATTCTAACGTGAAGTGGGCTAAAGTTTAAAGCTAACTTTAAACCAGTTGTTTGGAGCTTTAGCTCTAAATTGTAGAGGAGAAAAATCCAAACAGATCCTTATAAATCCGTGGTAGATTAGATATGGTTCTGGTTTTCCTCGTTGCCCATCAGCCCATGGTAGACCGCCATGCGCCCCTCCGTTCTAGTTTCGTGGCAAGCCGTTTTCCATGCACCCTCAACCTTGGCCGCTGCTATTTTGGACCATGCCGGCGAGCCGCGAGAAAGTTTTCCGTCAAAAAAAAGAGAGGGGCAATGCAAACTACTGAAACTAGGCAGCCAGGAAGTTAGCAAGAAATGCGCAGTATGGTGTAGGCCTACAGGAATCCATAAATGTGCATAAATAAATAAAAGCGGCAGCAGCCGAGTCCAGCTCCAGCATTGGGAGAAGCGGCAAGCAAAGCAACGAACGGCCAATAAAGAAAAGGGGCAAACGGTCCATCACGACGTCGCCCCTGCGAGCTGCGACCACACAGAAAGTATAACTCCTCCAGCCTGGACGCGGACGGGGACGAACACGCTCCTTGCAGTCGCGCACGGGGGGCAACGCCGAGCTTCCCGCTGCCTGCTCCGTGCGCTCGCGGCCGCTGAGCGGGACAAACACAGCGAGCTCGAGCAGAGTGGCGGCAGCGATTGAGCAAGAACTGAGAAGAGGCCTCTCTTTCTTTTGTTTTGGTTGGGAGGCCACAAACTCCCCCACGGGCCAATCCGCATCGTCGAAGGCGCTCGCCGCTTTCTTTAAGCGCTCCCGCGGTGGAGGCCGAATCACCTCTGCCCACTTTGGCATCTGCCTCTGGGATATTTAACTTTTTACCACTACAACGGATGTCACATCTTTAGATAGCATTCTTAAAATTGCTCTTACATATTTACCATCGAGAGAGAAGAATTCATAACTTTAAGCTATTTTTGCATACGTGGCAGGACACGTAGGGAAACCAGCGTGTCTGTGGGATGTGAAATGACTTTGTTACCCTCATCTATTTCTTCTTCGTCCGTCTCATCCTCTCGCTTGAGCTCTGACCATGGCCGGCAACGGTAAAGATGCATCCCGGACTACACGCCTCTCAGCTCCGCCTCCCCGCTGGAGCACGTCGACACCTACGCGCCTCTCATCCTAACCCTCCATGGAGGTCTCCACCATCAGCTTCACGTCCCCGTCGCCCCCGTCCCTGTCCCCTTCCCACGCCGCCGCCACAACAGCCGACGCGCGCCACGCCGGCAGACCTCGAGGCCGTGGACCTCGAGGCAGCAGCAGCGCGTCGTGGGCGCCGTGACCCGGAGCGCCATCCCGCTGCTTGGGGCCAGGACCACGCGGACCTCTGTCGTGCGGCATCCAGCGCCGCCGCCGGCTGCAACACCCCGAGTGGGCCCTGTTGGTCGGCGCACTCGCGGGTGGACGCCGCTGCAGAGGGCGGCGCGGGAGTGGCAGTGCGGGATGAGTCGTTCTCGGCCTGCCTGCAGTTGCTCCGATCCGAGGGGCTGCGGGGGCAGGAGGTGCTCGACGCTGCGGGTCGCCCCATGGCCGTCGCTAGCTCCGCCCGTCGCTTCCTCGCGGGCTTCAAGGCGCTCTTCATCTGCAGCGCCGCCGAGATGCTCGAGCGCCTGGCGGGGCCTGGCAGCGACCTCGACATGTTCGTCAGGGTCCTCAGTTTGGCCGCCGCTCGGACCGCCGCCATGGAGGACGACATGGACGTCGATCGGGCCGCCGCCACAGAGGACTACATGGACGTCGACGGGCGCTCGGAACCCGGTGCTCGCCACCGGAAGGAGGAGAGTGGCTGAAGCTGCGTGTCCGCGGGCTCCGTCGCGGCCCTCCTCCCCTCGCCTGGCGCCAAGAGGAAGCGCACGTGCGGCGGCTCCTGGAGTGGACGCGGTCGCACTAGCGGCTCCGGTCAGGCTTCGGCAGGGTCTCCTCCGCACCTCATAACCCGCCATGGCCGGCGTTGCCTCGCTCACGTCTTGCCCAAACGGTGGCATTGGCGTATTCTAGGTTTCGACGCCGCATCGGAAGGCCACCCGAGGAGGGAAGGGTGGTGGTTTCAGTGGGGGTGCAGGCGGTGGAGGCGGCCTCGGTGGCGGTGCTAGTGGAGGCGGTGGTCTTGGTGGCGGAGGAGGAGCCGACATGTTCGTCGCCAGCGTCGGGCGCGGCCGTGGACCTGAAGGCTGTGGCCCGGGCTGCCTTGCCCCCAACTTTCCTTATGTCCTGTCAGCCGTCATCATGGATTCCATCGTCGGCCATGGTTGGAGCTCGAGCGAGGAAGGGATAGAGATAGAATAAATAGATGAGGGGCAAAAATGTCATTTTCCGTAGCCGGTCTATGCTGTCAGGTCGAGTTGGCGTGGTACGTCAGCGAAAATAGCAAGAATGTATCAAATGCTCTCTCTCGATGGTAAATATGTAGAAGCAATTCTAAGAGTGTTAACTGAAGAGGTGACGTCGTAGAAAGTTAAATATCCCCTGCCTCTGCGTCCACTGCCCCCGGCTCCCGCTGCGTCACCATAAATACCCCCCTCTCGCCGCGCGTTCTCACCTCCCCCTCCTCGCCGCTCCGGGCTGACTGACCAAGGGCTCGCCGCCTTCCGTTCCGTGTCCTCCGACTCCGACAGGGAAAGGAAAGGCGAAATCTTGGGTCGGTTCGTTAGCGGCGGAGTGGTGGAGGTGCGGACGTTGATGACGGAGCTGTGGATGGAGGTGCTGCCGCCGCCCTACTTCGCGGGGCAGGCGGCGGGCGGCGGGTGGTTCCTGCCGGACCGGCGGGCCGGCGCCGGGCCCGTGGCGTGGACGGTGGAGGAGAACAAGTTGTTCGAGCGGGTGCTGGCGCGGGTCGACTGGGACGCGCCGGATCGGTGGGAGCGGGTGGCCCAGATGCTGCCCGGGAGGACGGTGGCCGACGTCGCCGCCCACTACGACGACCTGGAGAGCGATGTCGGCTTCATCGAGGCCGGCTTCGTGCCCTTCCCCCGCTACGGCGGCGGCGGTGGCGCGTCGCAATCCGCTGGGTTCACGTTCGACTGGGACGGCGGCAGCGGTGGCGACGCCGGCTTTAAGCGCTCCTCCTGCTACGTGGTTGGCGGCAAGCGCGAGCGCGGGCCGGACCACGAGCGCAAGAAGGGCATCCCCTGGACGGAGGAGGAGCACAAGTAAGCAGCAGCCCCAACCCCAATTGATCCTCTCACTCACACAACAAATGGAACTTGCGCGCGCGCCTGATTGGTGAAATTTCCATGGCTAATCTCCTCTCCTCTGGTTGCCTACCGTGCCGCAGGCTGTTCTTGATGGGTCTGAAGAAGTACGGGCGCGGGGACTGGAGGAACATCTCGCGCAACTTCGTTACGAGCCGGACGCCGACGCAGGTGGCCAGCCACGCGCAGAAGTACTTCATCCGCCTCAACTCCGGCGGCAAGGACAAGCGCCGCTCCAGCATCCACGACATCACCACCGTCAACCTCCCCGACGACGACGCCGGCGGTGGCAACAACCCCTCTGCCTCGCCGCCCTCCGTGCTCACCTCCACCTCCACACCCTCGTCCACCGGCGGCGGCGGCGGCGGCCCGGTCATCTCCGAGCAGTTTGGCGTCCTCGTCGACAGCAAGCCGCCGCCGCCGCACCACCACCACCACTTCATGCCGCACTCCTACGGCAACGTGAAACTCGAGCCCGGCGTCAATTCCCATCACGGTGCAGGCTTCCTGGACGACTCTGTTCTGATGCAGATGCAGATGCAGATGCACTGCGGCCAGCTGCAGCCTCTTGGCTGACTGGTTTTCGCGCAGCAATTACAATGGCAGAAAGAGGAAAAATTCCTCTCGTCTTTGGCCACGCACGAGTCTGTTGCGCGTGTCTGTTGTTGGTTTCAATCAAACAGGCAAATAACATTTGGGTACAGCACACATTCTTGCTACAGATGGATGGACGGTTCATGCAGACAGCTTCGAGCTCAGCACCAGTCCGCAGCCGAGCGCTAGCGTTCTGCTGCAACTGAGCTGAGCTCCCTGCCGGCTGCCGTGTGTTCCAGAGACGGGAGGAAGAGGGGAAAAAGGAAGAAAAGAAAAATATAGTAGAAGATACTTATGGACAATGGAATCTCTGCATTTCGCCTATGTGTACCTGTGTTATGGGAGGCACACTACTGCTAGATGTTGTGATTACGCTGCATTTTCTTTGTAATGATGTGTCGATCGGTTAACGTCATGTATTTGGGATAGCAAGTAGCATCAGCAGCAGCATGCTGTTTAAGTGTCTTGTAAGGGTTCTTATTTATCTTTATTAAGATGGGGGTGTATTAGCTAGCATCGGTCAACCTCTCATTGACCCGCCCTTTTGTTTGTTATTAATCATGATGGTGATGAAAAGATTGTAGTTTTCATCAGCTGTTTCCTGTCGCTTTTGATGCCATAAAAACGGAACCATGATGCAGATGGATGTGGTTTTTGTGGCTGTGGGAGGGAAGGACTCTAGAAATTTTATAGATTGGTCAAGTCAGTCCCTCTGTGTAAGCTAGGCAAAGCTTATCATTGGCTGAAAAAACCTGGTCTTAGTGGTCTCAAGAGCTGTACTTTGCTGGCGAAATGACAGCTTCGTTTGTGACTTAGAAAATGGTCAGATCACAGTTTGTTTATGACTGCAAATGCCCGAGATCAGGGCTAGTACTCCGTCCATAGCACTAATATACTAGTACTAATCAGCTTTCCTCTTGGCCAATGGGAACAGAGCGCTGGAGGGCCTGATTAGTTTAGCTGGAATGGAGGTTGTACCTCGCAAGTACCTTCCTTGACGTTGGTGGAGGAGGCAGGCATGGCTGGCACACAGGCAACAGCAGTAGCGGGGAATGATTTGGAGGAGGTCCACCAATGGCGGAGGCACAAGGCATCACATGCCTCCAGCCGCTGTCCTCTTCTTTCCCGTCTAAAGCAGCGCCCCCTCTCCCCTGGCAAGGGCACCGGCACCGAGCCCACAGGGCTCACAGGCCACGAGCAGCCACCACACCACCGAAAGAAACAGGCGGAGCGCACACGGTCGAAGTCGTCTTCTGTTGCCGGATGCTTCTCGGCCCCAACTTGCGCATTCCTCCCGCCTTGCTCGCAGATCCACTCGGAAAGCCGTGGTTTTTCCAGTGGCTCAGGGCCGGCGGAGAGACGGGGGAATCGGACAGTTTCGGTGGCCGTGTGCGTGCGTGGGTGAGAACCAAAATGCCTCCAGGGAGAGGGAAAGGGGCTCCCTGATTTGATGCGGCTTTTTGCTCGGTTCTGCAGGGCAAAAAAGGTTGATTTGTTCGGAGGGAAGACGCAGTCTTGGGAGAGAATTCTTGGCCTCCGGTGGTAGCCGTGGTATGGTATCTCCCATGCCCTGGACAACCGTGAGAATCTTCAGGCCAGGCCCTCGTGAAAGATGGGTGGGGTGAGTCTTTCGTGTCCTGTCCGGTGGTGCCTGTGATTTACACGAACATTGGTCGGGTCCGACCGAGCATATGAATTTGACTTGAATTATATAGTGATTTCTAGAAAAGAGTTTAGTTGCAAAAAAAAGGAATAAATGGGCATTATTACAAAGGAAAGAGGAAACTGGAAAGAACATCGGTGATGGCAATGTTAACACAAGAAGTCTACTGCTACTGGGACACAACAAGACGTCGCTGGTCTCACTGTTTGCTATTGTGGCAATTGACTCAGCTCCAGCGAAAATATGGCCATGCATGTTTGGCTGGTTCCTCCGTGCACTGTAGTAATGAGCAATCCTCCTGTTCATTTGAGCTTATTAATACTACTTTTCAGCCATAGAATAGTGTTTTTCTCTCATAATATTTCAGCATAAGTATCAGCATAAATCAAATTTTAACATAAGCGAACAGAGTGAATATATTTGTATATTTTTTTCAAAATAAATTAGGCCAGTGAATCTATTATATGTTTCTTTATTTGTTCTGAATCCTCAACGGACTAGTAGCAATGGGCCGTAGTCATTTAGAGCAATACCAAACAAGGTCTATATTTTACTCATGTCATTTCAAGTAAATTATGTCTTGTTGGACAAGGTTTCAATCGGCTCTGGTCCTCCAATTAGGGATGAACACGGGTAGAACAGAGAGATCCTCTTAACCATTTTCGTTTCTTCATTTGATCATCGAAAAATAAGACTAGGACTCGAATACCTAGGAAAGAGAATAGAAATGGGATATGTAGGATTACAGAGACGAACATATACGGATGGGAGTTAGAAACTTAAGCTAAGGTCATGACATGGCTTAATGTGTCTATGTGACATGCTAGGAGAGGGATTGTGCCAAGCCAAAAAGAAGGGAAGGGATGGAAGATTGTTTGACTAACAGGTGGGTCTCATATTAACGATGGTTAACAGAACACACACGATTCCATCCTTGTTCCTCCAACCAAACAAAAGAATAAAGTCATTCTATCCTTCCAACTGAACATGGAACATAGAACAATCCTTTTCCAAAAATAAAGATAAATTATTCCATCTTACATGGCTCTCTAACCAAATGCTACCTTAATCATCCTCACTAATAATCGAGCTCCATATACATTGGTTGGTTATGTCCCCTTCGTCCTCTGATCGTATTTTAATTTGTTGCCATGCACACCACTACCTCTGGCACCGTGGCATTTGGCATTATACTTATTATAACAGTAACTTGTTCGCTGATGTTGAAATTTGGCTTATACTGATGTTTATGCTGAAATGTTGTGAGTATTGATGCTTATGCTAAAATGTTGTGAGAGAAAAACAATGTTCCATGGTTGAAAAATAATTCTGAATAAGCTCA